CTGCCCATGGGAGGCTCAGCCGTGTTGGTTTTGTGTCCTCCCAGGCCGAGGCCCTGCGCCTGGTGGTCCGTGTGCGGTAAGCATTTTAGGCATAGGGTGGCTGGGAGGGGGGTGACCTGCGTGAAGTCTCTGTACTGGTAAGGGCTGGGGCCAGGCCATGAGTTCATGTCCTCTGTTGTTGGGGGCTCCCTCTGTACCTGCCTAGGTCACACCCGGGCAGGTTAGGGCACCCCATTTCTATGATCTTCATGAGAGTCTGAGGGCTCAGCAGGGTATTTGTCACCCTCCCCAGGTGCCAGGGGATTGCATCCTGGCAGCTGAATGGCACCTCTCCCTTTCTGTTGGCAGTAGGCAGAAGTGTGAGGGTGCGGGGTGGCCTGTGTTGGCCGCAGTGGTTCTGGACCTGAACCCCGCCGCGTGTCCCGGGGATGGGCTGCGTGCCCTAGTTGGGGGGCTTCAGAAGGCTAAGGAAGAGACTAGGCTGGGGAAGGGCTGAGGCCGCCTGCCTGTCACTTCCTCTGCCCACCTTTTGTATTCACTGCGGGCACATGGTTGACAGGTTCTCTGCTCCCTTCTGGACAGGGAAACTGAAACCCTAGAAGAGAAGCTGCTCCACCACAGTGCTAGGAGGCCGGGCCAATTACAGAAGACTGAACCCGGGGAGGCTGCAAAGCCGTGTAGAAGGGCTCCTTCTGTGACATGAGGACAGACCCCTGCCCTGGGAGTCCCCGCTTCCAGTTGCTGTCCTATCACCCTGGGCTGCCCAGGAGAGCTGGGGGTATGGCGGGGGTGGGGGGTGGGGGTGCGAATCTTCTCCCAGGAAGGCTGCTGCAGCCACTGGCAGTCACAAAGTTGGCACAGAACTTCTGCCTCTACTGCTCAGTGCCCAGTGTGTGAAACGGGGTCCACGTAAGGTTCAGGCTTAAAAGGGGAAATTCTGAACTGTACTAGCGTGGCTGGTCCTTGAAGCCTGTGAAGTGATGTCATGTAGAGAAAACACTGCTGTCGCCACCACCTGATTCTACCCCTGTGTGGTGTTCAGGTGCACAGAGACAGAAAGTGGAAGGCGGCTGTGGAAGGGAGGCTGGGGGGAGCAGCGGCCTGACCGCCCAGCCTGCCGCCCAGCCTGCTGCTGGGACATTCCCATTCCTGTGGTCTCCACCCAGGCAAACAATGGGCCCTGGCTCACTGTGAGAATGGGGCTGGGCGCCCCTAGGGCGCTGGCTGGGGAGCTGCTGAACTGTGGGTTACTCAACAGGCAAAACACCCGCCCCCCACCCCACCCAGACTACAGGACAGCATGGCTCCTGGGCAGGGGCTTCTCCTCCACCCCCAGGCTCCAGTGCCTTCCCAGGCAGGAAGCGGGAGGGGCTGAAGCCTGGCTGGCCCCCCCCCCCCCCCCAGGCCACAGACACCTGAAAGTGCCCCCTCCACACCTATCCGTGGATCCCATGTCCTGTGCCCCTCCGCCCTGTCTCTTCTTTCTCTAAGAGCTGTCTGTCTTTGTTACTGCCTGCTGTCTGCAGTGTGCTGCACAGGTGACATGGAGGCTGGGGAGGGGCAGAGGGTCCTACCACCCCAAACTGCCTGCCACACCTGTTGCTTTTCTGTGCGCAGGTATGGCAGGGCCTCACACATGCTGGGCACACACTGCCGCTGAGCTGCCCTAGCCCTTCTGATTTTTTATTTTTATTTTTTATTTTTTTGAGTCAGGGTCTTGCTATGCAGTTCAGCCTGGCCTCGAGCTCATTTTGTAGCCCAGGCTGGTAACGAACTCCCAACGATCCTCCTGCCTGAGCCTTCCGAGTGCTGCGATTATAGATGTGCGCTACCACACCTGGCCTGATTTTTATTTTGCATCTGGGTCTCCCTGAATTCTCCAGGCTAGTTTTGAGTATGTGATCCTAGGGGCTGGAGATTTAGCTCAGCAGCATAAGTACCTGCCTTGTAAGCAGGAGGTCGTGAGTTCGATCCCCGGTACCGATAAAAATGAAAAAGACCAAAAAAAAAAAAAAAAAAAAAAAAAAAGTATGTGATCCTCCTGCCTTAGCCTCCCAAGTAGCCGGGATTGCAGGCGTGCGCCACTAACGCTGTAGAGACATGCAGTTCCTTGGACTCCTCTGGGAGGGAGGTGCCTGTACTTGCTGTGGGGTCTCTGCCACAAGTTCCTGGTCCTCAGGGGACTCCTGCCAGCCTGGCCACACCTGGGCCGTAGCTGTCCTCCTTCTCCCTGCAAGAAGGAGCTGCTCACACACTCCTCTTACCCACACCCCAGTGTGCAGAACCCCTGGCCTTGGTGCCCCCACCTTCTTTTAGGTCTCTCCCAAAACCGTCTCAGAAGGGCTAGTAATTTGTCCAGAGCCACATGGCAAGGTGTGAGACTGTGCAGGGCCTGCCTCTGGACAGGCCACCTCCACCAGGGCAGCCCCAGGCCCAAGGTAGGCCAGGCCTGTGCTGGACTTCAGCCCTGGTCCTTTGTAGCTCTGTGAGCAGCCCCGAGCTCTGCCTCTGGATGTCTTCATCCTTTGTACTCTGTCTGAAGGGACCCCAAAGTGGAGAACACACTCTGGTCACGTGTTCTGCCCCCCAAGAACCCAGCCAAAGGCTGAACAGAGTTCAGGGCACCTTGAGACCAGGGCTGGGGAAGTCAGAGAGGCAGCCTTCCCTGAGTCCCGGTCCCCTCACCTGCATAGGGCCCAGGAACATGGTCTGCCTCTCCCAGGATGGTGGAGCTAAGGCTGCGCCCCGATAGGAGGCTGGTGGTCACCTGGGATGACTGTCCCCATGTTCTGCCTCTTGGCGGCTGACCCCACTATGGGTGCCCAGCCTGCTGTCCTTGCCGGTCTCCTGGCATCTCAGGCAGGCTGCTGCAGCCCTGGGCCTTCTCCCCCTTCCCCCTCCTTCCTTCCGGTCCCCAGGCCGTGGCCACACCCAAGCGAGGCCTCAGGGACCTGGGAAGGAGGCCCCTGAGCTGAGCATGTCTCAGCGGGAGGCTGGCTGTATGATTCAGCCGCCCTTGCCCTCGGCCAGGAGAGTCCCTTTCCTGGGAGTGTGGGCGTGTACGGAGCCAGCTGGTCATTAGCGGGCAGGGGCCTTCCTGTGGGGTGGGCCCAGGCTGAGAGCCCAGGCACTAGAGCTGTGTTGACCCTCGCCACAGGTGGGAATGTCTGCTGGCCCCCAGGTGACCCGAGCTCTGGCCACCCTGGGTGGGGAGGTGGCTATCTGGGACCTTCAGACTGCCACCACCTTTACCAGGCGCCCCAAGCAAGAGATTGACAAGCCCACCGCAGCCCTGTCACTTGATGACAGAGTGACTTTGGGCCAGTGACTCTGTCCCTGAGCCATCTGTCATAGGGACCTAGGGTCTCAGAGGGATTGTAGGTGTGTTAAAGAGTGAACTCCACTGCACATGAGTGCCCCATGCGACCTCCCTCACTGAGGACTCCGTGGTCTGCTTTCTCCTGGCCGCCCACCTGTCCCCGTGTGCCCTACAAGCCGGGAGCCTTGGCATCGGCAGGGGTCCTGTCCTGAAGGGTTTGTGCTGTTAGCACGAGCAGCTTTGCCAGGAAAGTAGGTGGCCTGGTCCTTTGTATTTAGGACCTGACACAGGTATTTAGAATCTGACAGGGAATCCAGATGCTGGGCTAGAAAGCCGTATGTAGAGGAAAAGCACAATTTATTTTTTTTGTTTTTTGGGTACCAGAGGTCGAACTCACAACCTCACTCTTGCTAGGCAGGCACAACACAATTTGTATCTTAACAAATGTACAGAAAAAACTAGAGGGTTCTTTTTTCTTTTCTTTTTTTGAGACAGAATATTTCTCTGTGCTTTAGGGCTGGCCTTGAACTCACCCTGCTCCTGCTTCAGCTTCTCAAATGTTGAGATTGCCAGGCCCAGCTTGGAGAGGTTCACAGTGGCCAGCACAGTGGCACCACCTGTCTGTCATCCCAGCTGCTCCCGAGGCTGACTCAAAAAAATCTTAAGTTCAAGGCCTGCCTGGGCCACATAAGAAGAGCCTATTTCAGAATTAAAATTTTAAAAAGTCTGGGGTATAGCTCCATGGCAGAGCATTTGCCTGGCATGTGCAAGGGTCTGGTTCAAGCCCTGCTACCACAAAAGAGAAAAAAACAAAAGTTCACAGTGGGCAGCCTTGTATTATTCTGGATGTTCCCAAGTGACCGTCCAGGGAAACAGCCACTCCCTGTCATTACCGTCTTCCAGACTGGTATCAGAGCAGGGTGGTCGTGGATGGCGAAGGGAGGATCCTTTGCCCCAGCTGGCACAGGCGTGATTTCTCACATGTGGCTTCTGACCCAGGGTTTCTAACCTTGGCTAATCATTAGTGTCCCCGGCTCCTTCCAAGTCCAGCCAGTTGGACTTGAGGAATTTGCTGTGGTCACCATTTCCTGCTTGTTTCTCCACTCAGCCTGGAGATCAGTTCCCAGCAGGGCCAGTGTGATCCTGCTGTCCCTCGTGCAGCTCCCACCCAGGAGCCTGCTGCGTGTGACCCTCCTGTCTTCCCTAATGCCCTGTAGCATTTTTGGATTTCTTTATAGTTTTATGAATGTGAGTTCTAAACTGTGCATGGTGGCACAAGCCTGTAATCCCAGCACTGGGGAAGCTGAGGCAGGAGGATTGTTGCAAGTTTAAGACCAGCCTGGGTTACAAAGTGAACTCATCAAGGCCAGCCTGAACTGCATAGCAAGACCCTGTCTCAAAACAAAACCCCCAAAACTACAATGAGTTCTTGGCGAGCCCCGTCTGCACTCTGCTTTCCTGATGCACCCTGGAGAAATTCCTTTCAGCTCACTTCAGTGGCTTCACAGGGGCTGGTTCCAGTCCCTGTGGAGGTCCACGGGCACAGTCTGTGCAGGGACCCTCAAACATTCCAGACAGAGCTGGTGGGGGAGGCTGCTTCTGTCATCTCCAGGGGAGATGACCCCAGGTCCTAGGAATTCCAGGCCACCCTGTGGTAACCCCTCTTGTGGGTCCCTTTCAGGTTGAACCATGATCCCGGTGACAGAGCTCCGCTACTTCGCGGACACACAGCCAGCGTACCGGATCCTCAAGCCGTGGTGGGACGTGTTCACGGACTACATCTCCATTGTCATGCTGATGATCGCCGTCTTCGGGGGGACGCTACAGGTCACCCAGGACAAGATGATCTGCCTGCCTTGTAAGTGGGTCACCAGGGACTCCTGCAACGACTCATTCCGGGGCTGGACGCTCCCCAGCCCGGAGCCTACCTACCCCAACTCCACAATCCTGCCAACGCCCGACACGGGCCCCACAGGCATCAGGTACGACCTGGACCGCCACCAGTACAACTACGTGGACGCCGTGTGCTACGAGAACCGACTGCACTGGTTCGCCAAGTACTTCCCCTACCTGGTTCTCCTGCACACGCTCATCTTCCTGGCCTGCAGCAACTTCTGGTTCAAGTTTCCGCGTACCAGCTCCAAGCTGGAGCACTTCGTGTCCATCTTGCTCAAGTGCTTCGACTCGCCCTGGACCACAAGGGCCCTATCCGAGACGGTGGTGGAGGAGAGTGACCCCAAGCCGGCCTTCAGCAAGATGAACGGCTCCATGGACAAGAAGTCCTCCACAGTCAGCGAGGACGTGGAAGCCACCGTGCCCATGCTGCAGCGCACCAAGTCGCGGATTGAGCAGGGCATCGTGGACCGCTCCGAGACCGGCGTGCTGGACAAGAAGGAGGGGGAACAGGCCAAGGCACTGTTTGAGAAGGTGAAGAAGTTCCGGACGCATGTGGAGGAGGGCGACATCGTGTACCGCCTCTACATGCGGCAGACCATCATCAAGGTGATCAAGTTCGTCCTCATCATCTGCTACACAGTCTACTACGTGCACAACATCAAGTTCGATGTGGACTGCACCGTGGACATCGAGAGCCTGACAGGCTACCGCACCTACCGCTGTGCCCACCCCCTGGCCACGCTCTTCAAGATCTTGGCGTCCTTCTACATCAGCCTGGTCATCTTCTACGGCCTCATCTGCATGTACACGCTGTGGTGGATGCTGCGGCGCTCGCTCAAGAAGTACTCGTTTGAGTCGATCCGCGAGGAGAGCAGCTACAGTGACATCCCCGACGTCAAGAACGACTTCGCCTTCATGCTGCACCTCATTGACCAGTACGACCCGCTCTACTCCAAGCGTTTTGCCGTCTTCCTGTCGGAGGTGAGTGAGAACAAGCTGCGGCAGCTGAACCTCAACAATGAGTGGACGTTGGACAAGCTGCGGCAGCGGCTCACCAAGAACGCTCAGGACAAGCTGGAGCTGCACCTGTTCATGCTCAGCGGCATCCCCGACACGGTGTTCGACCTGGTTGAGCTGGAGGTCCTCAAGCTGGAGCTGATCCCCGATGTGACCATCCCACCCAGCATCGCGCAGCTCACGGGCCTCAAGGAGCTGTGGCTGTACCACACAGCAGCCAAGATTGAGGCTCCGGCGCTGGCCTTCCTGCGCGAGAACCTGCGGGCGCTGCACATCAAGTTCACAGACATCAAGGAGATCCCGCTGTGGATCTACAGCCTGAAGACGCTGGAGGAGCTGCACCTGACCGGCAACCTGAGTGCTGAGAACAACCGCTACATCGTGATTGACGGGCTGCGGGAGCTCAAGCGCCTCAAAGTGCTGCGCCTCAAGAGCAACCTGAGCAAGCTGCCACAGGTGGTGACGGATGTGGGCGTGCACCTGCAGAAGCTGTCCATCAACAATGAGGGCACCAAGCTCATTGTGCTCAACAGCCTCAAGAAGATGGTGAACCTGACCGAGCTAGAGCTGATCCGCTGTGACCTGGAGCGCATCCCCCACTCCATCTTCAGTCTGCACAACCTACAGGAGATCGACCTTAAGGACAACAATCTCAAGACCATCGAGGAGATCATCAGCTTCCAACACCTGCACCGCCTCACCTGCCTTAAGCTGTGGTACAACCACATCGCCTACATCCCCATCCAGATTGGCAACCTCACCAACCTTGAGCGCCTCTACCTGAACCGCAACAAGATCGAGAAGATCCCCACGCAGCTCTTCTACTGCCGCAAGCTGCGCTACCTGGACCTCAGCCACAACAACCTGACCTTCCTCCCCGCCGACATCGGCCTCCTGCAGAACCTCCAGAATCTGGCTGTCACGGCCAATCGGGTGAGTGGCCTGGCCAGGATGCAGCGTGGAGGCGGGGGAGCAGCCAGTGGTGGGCACCGGGAGACCCCAGCATCTCAGGACCTAGTACTCCTGGGTTCGGAGTTCTCAACTCTGGTCCCTAGAATCACCCAGGAGGATGCGCGGTCGAGATTTGGCCTCCTGGGTCCCCATCCCTCACTTGCCTGTTGGGAGCCTCTGGGCTTAGGGAGCTACCATTGTCACAGAATTCTGCAGAATTCCTCTGCCAGGAAAAAGGTGGCCAGGCAGGGTCTGTCCCTAAGGTGACCTCTAAGGCAGGGTTGTGCATGGACTACAGGCACACAGCCTGCTGTCTCCCTTGGGGGAAGGTGGCGGGAGGTAGGACTTGGCCCGCAGCTTGTGGTATGTATCTTCCCTAGCTTGGCCCCATCCAGATGGGGAGCCCAGGAGCCTCATGGATCTGGCTGCTAGGGACCGAAGCTGTGCAAGTGGCCTGTGCTGGCTGAGGGGGCAAGCTGTCTCTGCACCCCAGCCTCCCAATTAGGGGAGGCGAAGGCAGGTTGGCCGTAGAGAGGGCTGGCTTGTCACCGCTGCCTTTCCAGAAGAAGTGGTACGCACCAATGGCTGGTGGTGTAGGAGGCTGTGCCGTTGAGACTATTGGCACCTGTGCGCCAGTCTCTCATCTGGCTGGGAAAGTCCTCGTGCCAAGGGCCCTTGGCAGAGGCAAACAGGCTGAGGTGGTGGCCAGAGTACTCTTCATGGCTATCCTTGGGGGCACCAAGCCACGGCCACCATGGGAGTTCCCTGCCCACCATCCCGGGCCTGCAGGTCCTCCCCGGCCTGGCTCTCAGATGCAGGTCCTCATAGGCACTGGTGGTAGTGGCCTGAAACCGGGCTGGGGATGCAGAGGGCTGATTCAGCTGCCCACTCTGTGCCTGCTGGGCCAGCTCTGCCTCAGGGATGACACTGCTTCCTGCCACCAACAGACACTGTCTCCAGTGACCTTGGGCATGCTGGGCAGGAACCCCTGACATGGGCCTGTCTGCTGCTCCCTGGCCCCAGATGGGGACACACCTCCTCCTCCATTGCTCAGAACAGAGGGCTTCAGAGCCTTGCTCTAGTTCCCAGCTCCTCCTCCTGCGAACCTGCCTTCCCTGCCTCCGGTGTCATAGGAACTGTCACCAATTCTTAGGTCCCTGTCTCAAATTATGACTTTGGATGGTGATGTGAGAATGTAAAGGCAAGGGTCAAACCTCAGCTTGTCTTACTGTGGCAAGTCACTGAGCTGGGGAGATTGGAGTCCCCCAGGGAAAGAAGCCACACTTACAAAGCACAGGGCCAGACTGGTCACCACCTTGATAGTGTGAGGAGGGATCACTGAGCGGCCTTCTGTGACCGCGGGTTGAAATCACAGTACCCCTGTTGGGCCAGGCGTGCTTCCCACAGCCTGGTATGTACTGTCCTGCCCCAGCTGCCTGCCCTGCCTTCCTCCTGGGTGCAAGGGCACAGTGCAGCTGCGGCCCGACCCCCATCCTGTCCCCACCCCCAGTTCCTTGCACTGGGCTTGCCTGTTGGCTGAGGTCAGCCCTCAGGAAAGGAGCTGGCGGAGGTGCTGTCCCGGAGGAAGGAGCCCCTCTGGAGACCCGATTTAGCACAGTGCTTAATCACGTCCTGTCCTGCCTGCCTGCTTCAGGCTGAGGACTTTATTGGGAAAGATGTTCGATCAGGAGCGGGGAGGAGGGTGTGGTCTCTCCTTCTGGCTCCCAGGCTTCTGGGGCTGCAGTGGACCTGGTGATGGGAGTGGCCTGGCCCAAGCCCTTGGGGTGCCTTTCATTCCCTCCTCTCCCCTCAGTACTTGGGCAGGTGTTTTCTAAGCCCTCCTAGAACCCAGCGTGACCCATGGTCAGGGGTCCCAGGTGACCAGGCAGTTAGCATGCAGGGGCCCTGCTGGGTCATGAGGATGAGGACTGTGAGGGAAGGTGACTCAAGGTGACTGTGAGGGAAGGAGTCCCCGGCTCTGCCCTGGAATGTGGACTTTACCCCAGACAGGGGCAGCGCTGTGCTGGCTGCTGCCTCTCGAAGGCTCCTGGCCTCACTGCAGTTTTAGTGTCCCTTGCTGGCCTATAAGTGCCCCCCAGCCTACAGGGGATCAGCCTGAAGCTGGAGGAGCTGTCCCCTCTGGGTGCACTGGTGCAGAAGGGTCTGTGACACTCCTCCACCAGGAGAGGAGGACAGAGTCACCACAGGGCTCATGTGACACAGAGGGCAGCAGGACTGGCCAGCTCCTTGTGTAGGGAGACAGGAACAGGAGCGTGGCGCAGGCCTGAGGCCGGGGGCGAAGCTGGTGACCACAGAGGCCTCCCATAGATTCTTGGCAGGCTGAGGGACACAGGGGAGACAGTGAGGTCCCTGAAGGGGCAGAAGGGGAAATGACTCCAAGCCTCCAACGGGCCAGGGGCATTTCCAGAGGGAAGAACAGGGTGTGATTGCTGAAGGGGCCTCCTCTCCCTGTGGGGCCTGGGCCAAGCTCCCTGGTGGGGCGCAGGGGGGTCTGGGGGGAGAGCCACACTGACTGCCACTCACTGGGTGGAATCGCAGCCCTGACTTTTGTCAGCAGAGGAGGTGGCTGTGACAGGGTGCCGGGGTGGGGGCACAGAGTGGCCCATTCAAGAAGAATTTAGTCCTGGTCTGGCAGAGCCTCCCTGTGTGGACCTCAGGGCCGGCCTGCCCGAGAGCTCAGGCTCAGCAGGGCGCTTTCAGACACCCCACCTGGAGTCTCCTTGAAGATGTCTGCCCCCACGTAAGTCCCAGTGGCCACTCTTGCTTCCCTGCTAGGAAGGCCCGTGGCTCCCTGGAACCCGAGCTGGGGCAGAGCCTAGGGAGGTACGCTTCCTCTGGAGAGCCAGAGCCTCAGGATGGCCAAGCCGAGAATCATTTTCTTGGCCACCTCTTGGATTCTACAGATGGGACACTGTGGCCCAGGGAGGGAAGAGGACTCCCCAGGATTCCGTACACCTGAGCTTCCTGGAGGATGTGGCCACAGAGCCTGGAGCTCAAGTAGAGGTGAAAGTCACCCAGCCCACGCAGCACGGGAGCCCCGGTGGGGATGGAGAACAAGGTGCCCTGTGCCTGCCTCGCCCCTCACCCTGGCCTCTACTCCTCCCCCAGATCGAGGCACTGCCCCCAGAGCTCTTCCAGTGCCGGAAGCTGCGGGCCTTGCACCTGGGCAACAATGTGCTGCAGTCGCTGCCCTCAAGGGTGGGCGAGCTGACCAACCTGACGCAGATCGAGCTGCGGGGCAACCGGCTGGAGTGCCTGCCCGTGGAGCTGGGCGAATGCCCGCTGCTCAAGCGCAGCGGACTGGTGGTGGAGGAGGACCTGTTCAACACGCTGCCGCCCGAAGTGAAGGAGCGGCTCTGGAGGGCCGACAAGGAGCAGGCTTGAGCGGCTGGAGCCAGCAGCAGCAGCAGCAGCAGGAGCCTGGGTCCTGGGCCAGGAGGGCCAGGCTCTGCCTCCCAGGACTCCTGGACAGCCAGCCTGGCTGCCGCAGTGGGGCTGGGGCCTGGCTTGAGCCGAGCCAGTGGGTGAGAGGAGGGAATCCGAGGGGCTGGCCCCTCACTCCCCTAGGGCAGGCACCTGTGGGGAGACCAGAACCCCGGCTGGGCTCAGAACGCAGTGTTGGACAATCAGGGTCTCCTCCCAGGAGGCCACCTCTGTCTCAGAGTCCATGTCGATGCCAGAGGCCCAGGGAACCGAGTTGGCTCTTGGTATTCACCTTCCTCACCTCCCGGGGAACCCGCATCCCAGGAAGAGCAGCACCATGGGAGGTGTCCAGGGAGAGGTGGGCAGTTCTCCCCTTGTCCCTTTCGGGCAATGCCACCGGCACAGAGTGCCCAGCCAAGTTAGTCAGGGGGTCCAGTCCGACTAGGCCAGATGGCCGGTTGTCCCGTAGTCGGGGCTGGCTAGGACGCAGGCCTGTGGGAAGGCAGGCCACCTTGTCTGCCTCACCTCATTGCTTTTTGTGGCAGTTTTCAATGTGGTTTTTTTTTCCCAAGTCAAAGATTTTTTGTTTTGTTTTTTAAACTTTGAAAATTGATGATTTGGGTATTAAAAAGAAAAAAAATCAGAAAAAAAATGACCCTAAAGGCCAGTGAGTTGGAGTCTCAGGGTGGGGTGGCAGCGTCCCTTGGGCAAAACAGCGAGACCCTGAATTGTATCTCCTCTCCCGGAGGTGGGGGCACAGGACTCTGAAGCTGCTGTGACCTCGGTCTGGGAGTTCTGTTTATCCGCTCTTCTCTGGGCAAGGATTTTAGTTTTGTTTTTTTGTTGTTGTTTTTTTGTGGATTTTTTTTTTTTTTTTTTTGGTGTCTTGTTTTCTTTGTCCTCCATGGATCTTGGCAGGGACTGCTTTCTGTGGCTGCCAGCCAAAGGAAATGTTCCAGAGTTGCCAAGAAGGGAAGAGACCCGGGTTGTCCAGCCCCAGATGAACGGTGCTCTGTCCTCCCCTGCTGCCCACACCCCTGCCCCTCCACGCACAGTGTTACCCGGCTGAGGGGGCCACTCCACCCGGACTCTCGTGTCCCTGCGGGTGCCACCACCCACCTCCGCTGCTCACGTGGTCCCTGTCACCGCTGGTCATTCCCGGAGCGCAGATGTTCCTAGGCCGGCCGGGCATGGGGAGATCATTGCTGGGGGGGCAGGCAGGCCCCATACCCGATTGGGTTAGCACCGGTGGTGGGAAACCACCTGCTTTAGGTCATCACTCAAGTCCCCACTTTAGGAGAGTCCCTGCCTTAGAGCAATCACGTGGACATTAAGGCCCGTTTTAGCCTCTCATCTGAACAGTTCTGTCCATTTGTCTATCCATTTGTGTTTCCCGCGTTGTTGTCAGATGTAACCTTCAGAAATAATGCACACTAGCCTCTGCCGGCCATGAAGCAATCCGTTAACAGACTTGGATCGAATATCAAATAAACCTGTAACAAAGGAACCTGCAGAGGTCTGGATCCATCCGCTTGGAGGGGCCCCTTCCCCATCTGGGAGTCCTGCTTGGCCCCAGGCTGTGTGCTGGTCCCATTTCCTGCACTCCTCCAATGCTGGTCCTGCCCTATGAGCTGGCCCTGGGCAGGACCTTATGGCCAGTGCCTCCTCTGCCGGGAGCCTTGATAAGTGGGTACACAAGAGGCCCCTGGAATGGGAGTTGGCAGTCCAGGGTCCTTGTCCCAGCTTGGTCACATGTGAAGCTGGGTGGGACCCTTCCCTCTTGGGGTTATAGGGTGGGGCAGAGTCACTGTGGGGAGCTCCAGCCTGGTCCCTAGCTCCTCTGGGACCTGCTGAAGGCACTGAGGGCGAGGGCAGAGGCTTAGAGCACCCTGGACTCTGCTTCTGCTATGGCTCTGATGAGAGGCCTCAGTTGTGTCATCCGTGAGGTTGGGAGGGGACAGGCCGCTGCCAAGAATTTGCTGGTGGTCACTTAAGACTGGGCTGTGGGCACAAGAAGGCCACCTTAGTCTCATGCTGCCAGGGGCCCCAAAGTCCAGGCATAGGCCCCTGTCTCAAGGTCCTGGGGTGCTCAGCAGATGCAGCAGGCGGAGGGAAGAGGCACCAGCTAGAACCAAGGAGCCAGCGCTGGGTTGGCACAGGGGTCCTGCAGCAAAGTCTGGGTGAGAAAGGGGGAGCGCTGTATGTCCCTCGGGGAGGGCAGCTGGTGCCCATCCTCTTCCCTGGGGCCTTGGGGGCTGGGGGCCCATTCCCTCCCTCCTCTCCCAGCTCCCGGGCAAGGAATGCCAGGCTGTGCTGTGGCCCCCCACTTTGGACCACCTCTCAGGTCTGTTCTGGTCCCCTACCAGCACCCGCTGAGGCCCAGGCTGTGGGCCCTGCAGGGGACCTCGGTCTGGAACCGGTTAGCTTCTGGAGAAAACAAGATGTGGACAAGCCACCCCCTCTTCTCAGCCAAGCGAGGGAGGGAGGGGGCCCTGGCCTGGAACCGCAGGGCTCTTTCCCTGGGCACAGCAGCGACATGGGGGAAACGTGGAGAAGCTCACAAAACATGAAAACTCCAAACTCTTTGCATCCACCCCAAAGGGCCCCCTCTAGCATTGAGTCAGCCGGGCTGGGGGCACTGTCTGGGTGCCAGGGCCCTAAACCGCTGCTGTGTCTTCCCTCTGTTGCTGTTCACAGCAGGCCTGGCGCCACCTCATGTCACAGATGGAGAAGTAAGGGCTGGAGTGTGAGCCCAGCTGCCGCCCACAGCCTTGGCCCCAGCTTTGATGGGGCTCCCCAGCCCACTGCTGGCTCAGCGTGGGGGTTGGGCCCTCCACGGAGCCTCAGGTTTTGCTGGTGGTGGCTGCAGCAGAGGGCAGGAAGCCCAGCCGGAACACAGAGCACTGCCTGCCTTGTCACTGTCATGGTTCCGTCTCCCAAAGCCAGTGGGCTCCCCCTTCCAACCCACCCCAACCAGGACAAAGCCCAGTTCCCAGTGCAGTGGCCCAGAAAACGACTTGACCTCAGGCCAAGGCTTTTGAGAGCTGTGCAGTGTCCTGTGCTTGCTCCCGAGACACTCTGTCCCTTTGCTAGTCAGTATCATTTCTGGGAAGACAGCAGCTGATTTTTGAGAACTACACCACCCCAGACATCCCTGACTCCCCAGCTAGGCTGACTGGAGAAGCCCAGCATCGTTGCTAGCAGGGCCAGGACCAGAGTCTTCTCCCTCAGCCTCAGCCCAGGCCCAGCCGCCAGCCTCTGCTCTCCAAGACAGGGCCCCCTGTCCATCCGCCTGTCCCTGTCCTTCCAGGGCCCGAAGGCTTGCAGGCCAGCACTGAGAGAGGCCCAGACAGTTGTCCCAAGGAGCTCTTCTGCCTTGGAGAGCAAAGCCACTGTGACTATCCTCCCAGGCCATTTGCAACAGCCAGATGATGCCTGCGGTCTTGGGGACTTTGTAAGCCTTGTTTTCCTTCACTTGAGGCTCAGAGAAGGACAGGCATGTCAGGGTCACCAGCGGTGGTGGGCCCTAGACTGAGATCACTGTCTTTGCCTGGTACCCCCGGAACACGATTTCTGGGCGATCGGTAAGCTGCCAGCCAGGAGTGGTTTCTAGAAAGCGACTCAGGAAGTCATTAAATACCACAAAGGAGACCAGAGAGGGCTAATCCTGGATTAGCTGGGGACACCAGGGCAGAGGCCCAGCCCTCATCCAGGGGCAGAGTTAAGGCTGGAGCCCCAACAGAGGGCTGAGTGGGGGGGACAGAGTCCTGCCGGGTCCTGAAGGGTTAAGTGCTCCCAGGAAGGGACTTCCGGGTTCAGGTTCTTCCTCTTCAGAACTTTCTTCTTTGCACCCTGACCTTGAGACACCATGGCCTGCCTGAGCCCCTTGCAGCTCCAGAAGGTAGGGCCCTGCAGGGTGTGCCTGGGAGGGTCACAGTGGCATCTGGGGGCGTCTCCAGGAACCCCCCAAACTCAACCCACACCCTCCCTGCCATTTCACAGAAGAGGAAGGCACTGCAGGGGGTGGTACAGGCCCTAACGTCTGGAAGCACAGCCCCAGGTGCTGGCCCTAACGCCTGGAAGGTACAGGCCCTAACGTCTGGAAGCACAGCACACGTTGGAGGCTGGGAGCCCCGGAAGTGTATGCACGTGCTGCTGAAAGCTTTGAGGCAGGCCGGCCAGACCTGGAGGCCTGCGGGAGGGGAGCTCACCCCAGCAGGATAAGAAAGGCTTGTTGGGTATGTGGTGTTAGCCGTTAATCCCAGCCAGGGAATTTACCCAGACACTGTCACCAGGAAAAGCAAAAAGGCCAGGGATATAGCACAATGGCTTATGCACCTGTCTAGCAAACGCAAGGTGGTGAGTTTGATTCCTGGTACCAAAAAGAAAGAAAAAAAAGGCTAGGAAGGTAGCTCAGTGCAAAGGCCCTGGTTTAATCCCCAGAACCTTAAAAGAAAAAGAAAGAAAAAGCTGGCACTTGGAGACCACAGGCACTGCTGCTTGGCCCCTGGACAGTGAGGGCCAGAGAGGAAACCCTGGCCTAACACTCACATATAGCCAGCTGTTTGTTTTTTCCTGTCTCAATGTATCCAGAGTGCAGCCCTGGGGCGGTATGTGTCTCCCAGCTCTGCAGGGCTGGGCGTTGAACCCACGGCCTTCCACAGGCCTCACCTTCCACAGGCCTCGCCAGCACTCAGGCACTGGGCCCGGATCAGGGGCCTATGGTGGGGGTTTTATCAGCTGTGTCATGTTCCAGACAGAGAAACCGAACTTTGTTGAACTAATCCCCTGAATACCATGCCTTTGCTCCTCTGTTACTTCAGCTTCTTATTGTTAGTTTTCCCCCTTTCTGTGTGGTGCTGGAGACGACCCAGTCTCTCTATATGCTAAGCAAATGCTGTGCCACTGAGCTGCCTTCACAACCCTCCATTTCTTTATTTTTAGTGCTGGGATCCTGGCTTGACAAAGGATCTTTCAGAGTTACCTAGGTTGTCCTCAAAGTTTCGATCCTCCCGCTTCAGCCTCCTCTGGTACTGGGATTCCAGGCATGTACCACCACATTGGCTATTCCCAAACTTTTTTGACTTTTGAGACAGGGTCTCTCTATGCAGTTCAGGCTGGCCTTGAGCTCACTTTGCAGCTCAGGCAGGTCTCAAAATCACAATGATCCTCCTGCCTCAGCCTCCCAGGTGTTGGGAATACAAGTGTGCATGACTACACCCTGCTGCTATTCCCCAATTTTAAAAGAGAAGTCCTATCAGCATTCTGGGAGGCTGAGGCAGGAGAACAGCAAGTTTGAGTTCAGGCTATGCAACTTAGTGAGCCCCTGCCTGGAGATAAAAAGAAAAGGTTGGGATGGTGTGGAGTATAAAAGTCCTGGGCTCAGTCCCTGGTGCACTGCACACACACACACACACACACACACACACACACACACACACACACACGGGGTGTCTGACTTCGGTGTTTACTGGATCAAGGTTATGCGGTCTGTATGGATGGCTCAGTTCCCAAGGAGCCAGTGTTCATCCTGGCACTGATAGGATTCAGGTCTGACCTGCAGTGCTGCCTGGAGACAGCAGGGCCCACACACATGGTCCTGAACATTCCAGTGTTCAGGGTGAGGTGGCCCAGTCAGGTGTCCTGCAGGGCTGGGGCGGGGCGGGAACTGGGTAATGGACTCCACGCCCTGGTACATCCAGAAAGGGATTCCACGCCCAAGAGTGCTGAGACCCCATCCTGCTCTGCTCAGAGCACACAGTCTCCCTCTCCTGCCTGTCCCTGTCACAGCCTCAGAATGGGAGGCCAAATCAGAGCCAGCCACGTGCTGCAACCCCCACCTATCACGCTCCTTCGCTGGCCCTGTCCCTGCTGCCCTCCTGCCTGCCTTCTCCTGTCCTCTGTCAAATTCACAGCAGTCCTCCTGCCTCAGCCTCCTGAGCACTGGGATGACAGGTGTGCACCCCCCAGCCCCCTGCATCCTGCATCACTTCCTCATAGCTGCCACCCTAGGACCCTTTTCCTTCCCACTGGCCCTTAGCTCTCGCAGCCTGCCCCTGCCCCCCTCACCCCTGTGCTGAGCCTGTGACCTGTCCTCGGGGTGAGCACTGGTGCCCTACTGGCTGTATTTCTACATGACACCTGCCCAGGGGAGGACACAGCAGCCAGGAACCACCTGCCCTTCCCCTTCTCCTAAATCCCAAGCAGCTGATATCGATGGCTCCTGTGGGGACCCCAGACACCACATGGCAGGCACAGGACTCAGTGTACATAGGACACCTGCTTTCACCCTTACTCAGCTTTAGGTTTAGGGCAGGGATCAAATATAAGGGACGAACCAGGCATGGTAGAGCACACTTGTGATCCCACCGCCCAGGAGGCTGAGGCGGGAGGATCACTGTAAATTCCAGGCCAGCCTGGCTACATAGACCGTGTCTCAACACACACACACACACACACGCACACATACAAGCACACACAAGCACACACAGCACACAACGGGCAGTGGGGCCGTCACAGGCAGAGGGCCGCCTCAGCCTCATTCCCACCACAGTTCCAGGACGATGGGTTCCTGGTGCTGGAAGGGTTCCTGTCTCTGGATGAGTGTGCGGCCCTGCAGCAGAGGATTGCCACCCTCATGGCCGAGATGGAGGTCCCCAAGCACTGCCGCACGGTGTTCACCACCCAGAAGGAGGAGCAGCTTCGTGCCCAGGTGGGTGTGGGCCAGGGAGGAGAGGAGCGGGTCCCCCATGGGGTGGCAGTGTGGAACGGAGGTCTTGGAGACCGAGGCTGCTTCTCATGAGGGCTTGGCCAGCTGCCTGTGGGCTAGCACAAGCTCATACACCTGGCTGGTCTCCCCTTTCTCCATACTGCATGGGGATACGGCAGGCGAAACCATCCCTATCCCACCAAAAGGGGCAAAGGGGAGCCTCAGAGTGCTCTCCTAGACCACACAGTAACTGAAAGTCAGGATTCGAACCCAGCTCCTGATACCGACCCGTGCTTGTTCAGGTCCCCACTGTGCTTCTTTTTGTCTGACCACAAAGACTCTCTCTTGTGGCCAGGATTCCAGAGTGGCCCTGTGATTCTGATGGGCCCGTGTGTGCCTCTTAAAGCCCCATCTAGAAGACTGTGGGGATACATGACTGCTATCCCAGCACTCAGGAGGCTGAGGCAGAACTACCTGGGCTACATAGCAAGACTCTGTCTCAATAGATACATGCATACATGCATATATACATACATAGAAAAAACTAGCAGCTCTGATTGCTTCCTAGGACCTGGTGCAGTTTGAGAAGGGTGGGTTCGTGTCCGGCCCTGCTCCCTGGGAAGTCTGAGACCCACTTTGCCTGACAGCCCAGGCCCCAGCACAGCCAGCGGAGCTCTAGTCCTGGAGCTCGCTGGATTCATTCACTCGCTCAAGGAGCTCCTGCCATCTAGTGGGCACAGAGGGAATTACAAGAGCCCTGAATTCCAGGGAGTCTAGACGAGAGATACAGCACCTTTCATTGGGAAGCTGCCCCGCTTCCTGGCTACAGTGGCCCTGCGGCCAGAGAGTCGGGTCCCTTAAAGGCCCCGAGGAGCGAGGGGCTCTGCTTTGCCCTTCAGGCTGCCCTCTGTGAATGCACAGGGACCAGGGGCAGCAAGGGTATACAGATGACCGCTTGGCTGAGGGTGCTTCTCCTTTCTGACATGGTGCAAGTAAAGTGGACCAGAGCCACGTATGCCCTGTGGAGTGCTCTTCCGCTAAACTAACCACATGCCCAACTCTGATTTTTTTTTTTTTTTTTTTTTTTGAGATGGGGTAATTCTAGCATAGCTGTAATCCTAGCACGGGGGAGGTTGAAGCAGGAGGATGCCTGTGAGTTCCAGGGGAACACAAGGAGTTCAAGGCTACCCTGGGCTATATAGTGAGACCTTGTGTCAAAAAACAAAACAATAAAAGAAAACATCCAGCTGACACAAGTGCTGTGATGCCATGTTCACCTGGATGCAGCCCCACTGGAAACTGAGGCACAGGTGTGACCAGGATTTCCAAGAACTCCCGGGTTCACAGATCAGGCCGTGCTTCAGGCTTCTGTGCCTCAGTGGGCCTGACTGGGAGGTCCGGGCGGGGAGGGGTGCCCACAGCCCTCTGGAGGGGCAGCACCTGGCCCCCTTCCCCGCTTCCCTGGACTCCAGGTTGCTCAGTCCTTCCCTCTGCCGTCCACAGGGTGCCTCCGACTACTTCCTGAGCAGCGGGGACAAGATTCACTTCTTCTTCGAGAAAGATGTTTTCAACGAGAAAGGTTTGGCGCTGGGCGCTACAGAGGGCTGGGGGCAGCCTTGGGCTCAGCTTGGATCTGTGTATCTGTTCCCTGGGGCTGGGCAGGCACCAGGCCCGCTGTCTGAGGGATGCTGGACTCCAGCGCTTCCACTCTTGTCTGTCCCTTGTGCCACAGGAGAGTTCTTGGTTCCCCCAGAAAAATCCATCAACAAAATTGGCCATGGTGAGCTGCAGCTGGGTATCAGAAAGATGATCAGGAGCTCGAGGTCTGCAGAGTTCCAGTTCTATACCGGGGTGGGGAGGGTGGCCTCTTCACAGCGACCCTCCTGCCTCAGCTTCCCCAAGTGCAAGTGTCCACACCACACTCGGCTTATGGACTGCTTACTTTCAAATGGGAATTTGTGTCATGAAATCAGTTGTGGTAAAATCTATCTAACTTCATTATGGTCATAGCCACTTCAAAGTGTGCCGTGCAGTAGCATTACGAACATTAAGCCCTCCCTTTTCATAACAACAATACAGATACTGCTGAGTACCCACCGCATGTCCCGCCCTGGGCCACTGCGGCTGGGCTCCTGGGCCGCCCTGACAGGCCGGCGTCCTCACTTCATTTCACAGAGCGGGAGACTGAGGCTCACAGGACAGAAATGGTTCCCTGGGGGCTGAGGATTTAGCTCAGCAGCGAAGCGCCTGCCTGACAAGCGCAAGGTCCTGAGTTTAATTCGTGGTCTCCCTTGCCCCCCCCCCCCAAAGAAATGATTCCCTGAGGTCACAGAGAGGAAGGGGCTATCACTTTTGGCTACCCTCGACAGCCCTGTGGGACTCTTGGTCCTCTGAGGGTTTGGAGTCTGACCTGCAACAAGCTCCCTGATGGCCCGAAGGTCAGGGAGAGAATGCGGTCCTGGGGGGGGGGGTGGTGGTGGTGAAGGTGTGTGGAGCCCATTACTTGGAGATAAATAAGTAAAAAGTTTAATGCTCCTGAGTCAGACATGGTAGAACACACTTGTAATCGAAGCACTCAGGAGGCTGAGGCAGGAGGGTCACTGTGAGTTTGAAGCCAGCCTGGGCTACATGGAGAGACCTGGTCTCCAAAACCATAAAGCTTCTGCCCCCAAAAGGGGTGAGAACATCAGCCTGGTGCTGAGGGTATGGGAGGGGCACAGGACTGGCCTGTTCCCTGCTCTGTCCCACAGCTCTGCATGCCCAGGACCCTGTCTTCAAGAGTGTCACACACTCTCCCAAGGTGCAGGTGAGTGGAGCAGGGTGGAAAGGGGCCAGGGTGCAAGGGGGGCTGAATGTGTCCAGGGCCAGGCTAGCAGGGTCCTCTCTGCTCCCTTCTAGGACCTGGCCAGAAGTCTGGGCCTGCAGAAGCCAGTGGTGGTGCAGAGTATGTACATCTTCAAGGTGAGCTCTGTGTCCTCCCCAGGCCTCAGTTTCTCCCCTGTGAAATGGGCTCATACAGAGCCCCTTTGTGTAAGGCTGGACTCAGTGGTGCCTGTAACCCCAGCATTCAGGAGGCTGAGGTTGGAGGATCACCACAAGTTCAAGGCCAGGCTGAACTACATTTAGAGATCCTCTCTCAACAAGAGAAAATAGAAGCCCCTTTGTCTAATGAGCCAAAGCTTCTGGAATCATGAAGTTGTTGGGAGATATGGAGAGTTGGTCTCCGACTGAGGTGCCTAGCACTCTGTTGCTACTCAGTTAAAATTTGGGGGTAGGAGCTGGGCTGAGGCAGGAGGCTTACAAGTTCAATGCCAGCCTGGACAGCTTAGTAAGACTGTCTCAAAATAAAGCTGAAAAAGAGTATAGCTCAGTGCTAGAGCACCCTGGGCTTGATCCCTAGTACCACACACACACACACACACACACACACACACACACACACACACACACACGGTGGTAGGAGGAGGAAAGGGGGTCCCCAGGATTTATCACTAAAATGCCCTGCTCTCAGCTGTCTAGGCCCAGGTTGGGGCCACCTCCTCTAAAAAGCCTCCCAGAACCCCTGGGAATAGCAGGACCCAGCACCAGGAACCCCAGTGCTCCCCTTCGTGCCCTTGCCAAGTGCTGCTCTGGGCCTGGGCCTGGTGGCCAGGGCTTCGGCCCTTGGCTGTGTCCTGGAGCCTGGGTCAGAGCTGCCTGCCCCCTACCGCCTGGCCCTGCCCTCACCCGCCTCTTCTCCTCTCTTGCAGCAACCAGGCATCGGGGGTGAAGGTGAGCCGAGTCAGCTGCGGGGCCAGGGAAAGCTGTGCGCAGAAGAGTGGGACCATGGGTGGGCAAGTCCTGGAGCCACTGAGCCCTTGGCACAGTGGTCCCGGAATTGGACAGGAAGCTTTAACTTACAATAGAACCCTAGGCACTGAGATTTTAGGCCAGGAGATCCTTGTGGGCCTGGGAAAAAAGTTTTGTTGTATTTTTTTTGGAGACAAGGTCTCACTATGTAGTCCAGACTGGCTTCAGACTCACAGGGATTCTCCTGCCTCAGCCTCCAAGTGCTGGGATGAGAGGCTTGGGCCACCATGTCTGGTTAGGAAAATTGGATTTTTTTTTTTTTGTCTTTTTCATTTTTATCAGTACCAGGGATCGAACTCATGACCGCCTGCTTGCATGGCAGGTGCTTATGCCGCTGAGCTAAACCCCCAGCCCCTGGAAAATTGGATTTTTAACAAGCTCCTAGGAGGATTAATTTGACATGCATTTTGCTGAGCTAGTCCCCACCCTACTGCACCTTTCCAGACTCCTGGGGCACTTTCACTGGCAGCCCTTTCCTTCCTTCCACAAGCCAGTTTCTCCTTGTGAGCACCCCTCCCCCAGAAGGCGGTCTCCAAAGGATGCCCACCTCTAGCACTCCAGCGCCTGCAGCCTGTCCTCTCCCAAATCCTCTGAGGCTCCTGCCATTGGACACCTCTTCTAGACACCTTACAGATTCTCAAAGATTGGTGTTTAGCAAATACAGTTAAGAGTGGGGCATGGTCGTGAATATTTACAGTCCTAGGTACTTGGGAGGCTGAGGCAGGAGGATCACCGCCTAAGTTCCAAACCAACCCACTGAATACAGATAGTTACCTGGGAAGAAGGCAGGTATGGTGGCACATGCGTGTCATCCCAACACTCCAGAGGCTGGGGCAGGAGGACTGCTGGGAGTTCGAGGCCAGCCTGAACTATATAGTGAGGTCTTGTCTCAAAAAACCAAAACATAAAAAATAAAAAAAGATTCTGGTTTTGGGAAGCCTGGCCTGGAAGGCTCGTGGGGATCAGGGAGTGGGAACCAAGACAAGGTGGGGAGAGGCCAGGCGAAGGACTGGCTCCTCTCCTCCCTGGCCCTGCTGCAGTCCTCCCGCACCAGGACGCCACCTTCCTGTACACGGAGCCGCTGGGCCGGGTGGTGGGCCTGTGGATCGCGCTGGAGGACGCCACACCGGAGAACGGCTGCCTCTGGTTCATCCCCGGCTCCCACACCTGTGAGACCCGGCCCACCTCTCCCTGCCCAGTGCCCTGGAGCGGCCCCGGAGGGCGGAGGGGCTGAGGTTCCCTCTCGGCTGCAGGTGGGGTGGCGCGGAGGTTCATCCGCAGCCCCGACGGCACCAGCTTCCTGGGCTCAGAGCCAGAGCGAGACGACTGTCTGTTTGTGCCCACGCCCGTGCGGAGAGGTAGGTGGGGCGGTGGTTGTGCCCAGGGATCTGTGCAGCCTAGCGGCTCTTCCTAGGGTCCCCACAAGGGAGCTGCGCTGGCCAAGCACCGGAAGTTGGAAGCCACGTGGTTACCAGCACACTTTCTGGATCAGGCCAGAATCCAGACTTTGCTACTTACAGGATGCTTCTTGGAGCAAATGACTTAATCTCTGCGAGCCTCAGTTTCCCCACATGAAAGTGAGGAAGGCAGTGAGGTGACTAGGGTACAGCGAATCAGCCCTGCATGCCGCTGGGGCTTCACCATCGTGGCTAACAGCGACCCCCGCCTCCACGTGGGAAAGGGTCCCTGGAGGTCCCACTCATTAGAGCCGCTGCCCTCTCCCGTCGGGCCCATCTCAGCTAAGACCAGGGCCCCAGCGTCCACACCGCAGGCTGCAGGCACCCAAGCTTTCAGGGATGGAATGGGGATAGGTGGAGCTGCAGAGCTGGTGACCTCCCGCCAGGTGGCCTGGTACTGATCCACGGGGAAGTGGTGCACAAGAGCACGCAGAACCTCTCAGACCGATCACGCCATGCCTACACGGTCCATCTGATGGAGGCAGAGGGCACTGTCTGGAGCCCAGAGAACTGGTAGGTGGCCGGTGTGTGTGTGTGTGTGTGTGTGTCCCAGGTCCTCCAGGGAGCTCTGGTAGTGGTGGTCTTGACTTCATAAGGTCACCTTCTCTATCTTTTGCAGGCTCCAGCCGACTGCGAAGTTGCCCTTCCCACGGCTGTACACCTGAAGGCCTTGCAGGGCAGGGCTGTCACCTCCAGACCCGAGGGCTGCAGCCACAGGAGTGGTGTCTCCCCACTGCACCTCCCTGTGCCAGTGTCTGCCCCTCAGCCCTGCAGACAGAAGGCAGGTGGGCTTCCCAAGAGCTCTGTCTATCATCCCATGTCCCTGCACAACCGCCCCCTGCAGGGGGTGGGCGCCCCAAGCTGGTTTCAGCGGTCTCTCACGTGGAACTCTGATGGAGGCATTGTAAGACAATAAAAGCGATTTCTGAAGGCAGCTTCCCCCTTGGATCCTTCTGTACCAAGCAGCCCTGCTCTCCAGATGGCGGCCTAGTGGAAATCTGTTGTCCCCAGCCCAGCCTGGCCTGGTTCCCATGCTTTTTTGTTTTTTTCTAGTCTCATTCTGTAGCCCAGGCTAACATACAATCTGCAGCCATCCTCCTGCCTCAGCCTCCCAAGTGCTAGCATTAGAGTGTGTTAGTGTGTTGGGCCTTATTTTACATGACTTGAATAGCTTCCAGTTACTTTTACCCAGGGCTGAGTGTGGCTATGCTGAATCCCCACTGGCTGGGTCAGGTACACTCGCTGGCCCTGTGGTCAAAGGGACTGGGTCAGGGGACCAGCAAGTGACCTGGCCCAGCCAGTTCCAGGCCTGAGCTCACCCTGCCCGTGCCTCTTACTCTGCTGGAGAGGGGACCACAGCCCTTAGGCCTCAGGCCAGGTCTTGCCTCTCTCAGGGCCCTGGGGGCCCCTCCTTCTAGGGCATGCTGGGTAGGCTACCTGGACCGCTACCAAACCCCAAACCTGTTCAGCCAGGCCAGAGATCGAAAGCTGGTAGATTGCAAGCCACAGATGTGTTTGATCTGGGCCTCAGCTATAGAAAAATATCTTCTGGGAGGGAGAGTGTAGCACAAAAGTAAAGTACTTGTCCAGGATGTATAAGCCCCAGGGTTCAAGCCTCAGCAAGACTGTGGGTTTTTTCCTTTTCCAGTAGTAGGGATTGAACTCAGGGCCTTCACACTGAGCTATATTCCCAGCCCTTGAGACAGGGTCTTGCTAACTTGCTCAGGCTGGGGTCAAATGTGATCCTCCCAGGGATTAAAGGTGTGCACTATGCCCCACAAAATGTTTTATTTATTTGGTTTTGGTTTTTGGAGACAAGATCTCATTATGTAGTTCAGACTGGCCTCAAACTCAATAATCCTGCTGTCTCAGCCTCCCAAGCATTGGGATTACAGGTGTGTGCCACCACACCTGGCAAAATGTTTCTTTAATTGGGAGATTTCACATAATAACCTAATTTTTTTTTTTAACTTTTTCTTTTTTTTTATAATCGGTACTGGGGATCGAACTCACGACTGCCTGCTTAAAAGGCAGGTGCTTATGCCACTTAGCTAAATCCCCAGCCCCAATAATCTAGATCTTTATGAATGAGCAGGCAACTGGCCACTAATGACCCTGGGCCCACTCTCTAGCGTGGTGACTGCTGCCCAGAGCTTGCTCCTTAGAGACCCAGTGTACACCCTGTCCTCATTCCTATCATCTGCCTAGGCTCTGTGGTCATGCTGGTGCCCTTGGCTTATTATCCTCCACCCACTATAAGGCCCACAGCAGACAGCCCTTCCCCAAGGGCAGTCAGGTGGCTGGTGGGCATAACCAGTGTTCTCTCCCCAACAGCTAGCTGCCCCAAAGCCTGGGAGAAAAGGCTTAAGTTGCCTCCAAACCCCAAAGGAACTCGTGTCTCTCCTCTCTCCTAGGGAAGGACCTGGCAGTGATTCCCTGCTCCCCAGAGCACTGCCTCTGGCTTTTGGCCTTGTTGGGCCCAAGTTCTTAGCCCCTCCCAACAGACTGGGAGGTCTAGCCTCGGGGATCTTGCTAGGCTACTTTCCAGGGGTGCCAAAGGGTCACCTGTTCATGGCTTCTGCCCAGCTCTGCACAGGCCCTGAGGGCTGTGCTGGGGAAGTGGGCTCAGAGTGCGATACATCTGTCCAGAGACAAGCACTGGATAGCACTGGAAACGTGGAAGGGTCTCAGGAGGGACCCTTGACAAGAAGCTCTTTGGTCCATCTTTCTACACCAGCACTGTCAGCCAGGCAGCAGGGTCAGGGCGGGGCGCTGGATCTGAGCTCCCTCGCCCTAAGTGGGTAGAACCATCCAGCCCAGCTCCCTCCTCCAAGTCTCCCTCTAAGCCAAGCTAAGAGAGTAAAAGTCACTCCGGTTGGGCTGGGGATTTAGCTCAGCCGCATAAGCGCCTGCCTTGCAAGCAGGCAGTCCTGAGTCTGATCCCCAGTATCGATAGAAAGGAAAAAGACCAAAAAAAAAGTCACTCTGGTTTCCAAGCACAACCCATCAAACCTCTTGTCGCGCTTGGCTTTTTGCTCAGACTGGGACTTGTCTTGAGCAACAGTGCGTCTTCCTTACTGATCATTGGCAGGGGTGGGCCATAGGCCAGATATGTCACACCAGGTCAGGCTGATCTGTCTTAAGACAGGACAACTGAGGCTCAGACTGGTTAAGTGCTTGCTTTATGGTCACACGGTCAGGACTGACGTGGCCAAGAACTCTGACCAGAATGTGAAGCACTAACCATTATGCTCTGGTTCCAGCCTCCACCCCAAAGCTTCAAGAGAGAAGGGGCCTCTACAGCATATCCACGTTCTCTCAGTAACTAGTTGTATGTGTTCTTCTGGCCTTTTTTATAAATACCAGCAAAACTAAAATCAGAAGAGCTCTGCCCTTTTATTTTGTCTGAATCACCTGAAAACCAAACCTGTTTTCCACCTTTTGGCTCTTTGTGCCCAAGTGGGGAGCTGGCGTGCGGCCCATTCATCCTCCCCATTCCCTTTTCCTCCCTCACTGCTGCTTTTGCGCAGGAGCTAGGCCATCAGCAATATCAGGAGGTAGAGAGGCAAAAGGAGGTTGTCTATCTGTGTAGTGTATGCTTCTAGGAGGGACACAGTGCTGATGGACCCTAAAAGCCAGGCGTAGCTGTAGTTGAGGTCCACTCCACTGTCAAAGATCAAAATCAGTGCTACAGAAATGATCTGTGCAAATATAGATGTCATGGTCCCCTCAAAAGTCTTCTTGGTTCCAGGCCACTGGATCTCCCCCATGGTGCTGCCGAAGATGGAGGCCACAGTATCACCCACGCCCACGGCCAGGACCCCTGAATAGGGCGCTAGGGCCCTTGCTCCCCCCAGGCTGCCCTTCTGTGCACAGGGTCTAGGAATGAGCCACACGGGAAGAGACATGCCCAGGAGCAGGTAGATGTGTGTCAGGATGAGAGGCCCGCTGTCTCGTTCATCCAGGAAGAGAGACAGGAGGCTCCGCAGAGTGTGGCCCAAGGGCTTGATTCGGAAGTAGCGCACATACTCCAGGAAGATGAAGACTGCCAGGCATACTGTGGCAGCCACATAGAGCAGCGGCCGATCAAACATAATTCCTGGGATGTACGTGGCAACCACAATGAAGTGGAAATACTTTCGGGTGATGGCAGGGGCCTGGTGCTTTTTAGACTCGGAAGATGACCGCTTGGCATTCTGGTAGAGTACCACCAGGCAGGCCAAGACAGCCAGCAGAAACCAATAGACTAGGAGGTAGATTCGAGTTTCCGTCTGGAAGAGGAACTGAAGAAGCCAGAGCAGGGGGTTCCTGTGGATCAGCCAGTGCAGCCAGGGCAGGACCACGCCAAGACCCAGCACACAGGTCATGAGGTGGAAGAAGATGGATGAGGCCCAGGTTCCCGAGTCCATGAAGAGAAAGAGGGTGCTGAAGAAGATCCCTATGAGCACCATCCCGACCACAACGACCAGCAGGAAGAAGTCCATGGGGTCTCCCTGGCTTTCTACTACGGTCAGAGAACGCTTGATGAGTTGGTTGAGGACAAAACTGAGGCCACCTAAGACCAGCAGGGCCTCCCCAGGAGTGAAGCAGCGGGGCAGGAGGTATAACAGGATCATGTTGAGATAAACAAAGATCAGTAAGACTTCTAGGACTTCGATCACCTCACCCACGCTGAGCGAGTGCTTCATGATATAAATGATAACACCTCCGGCCAAACCTGAGATGGCACAGGTGTTGGTGGGCATCGGGCGAGTAATACCCAGCGCCAACACCGAAGAGAAGAGGGCCACTGCCATGCCGGTGGCCACCACCACGACGCCAAAGCGTTCGAAGTGCTGGTTCCCCGCAGCCTGGCAGCGTTCCTTCATGACCAGCCCAAGCAAAGGCATGACCATGGAAGCGGGCAGCAGGCCGCTGTTTGCGGACATTCGGAACTGAAAGACAGCGTTGCCTTCCTGCAGCAGCCGGTCCCACTTGTACTGAACGTAGAAGGCCTGCACCGCGAGCGTCACGGCGCACCATGAGTAGCGGTCCCACACGGCGGCATGGATGCTCAATACCACTGCGAACACCACCGCAGCTTCGGCCAGTACCGGCCCGCTCGGTGGAGCCCCGGGCTTCCGGGCTGGGGCCGGGCACTCTCGGGTCATAGCTTACGGACTGACGCTCTGGGGAAGCCGGTGACTTAGGGACGTCTCCACTTCTGGGTCCCTCACCCGGCCAAGCGGACCCAACCTGCAACCTTCTCCAGCTTCGAGGGAGTGCTGCAGCAGTTCATTCACTGAGACCTGGGAGCTGGCGCCGTCCCCTTCCACCGCCTGCAACCAACAGTGCAGACGTCGCCACTCCTTCGCGCTCTTCAGAGAACCCACCGCCCCCGCCGCAGACTACTCACCTCCCTGGGCAGCGCCATCTTAGCCCGGCTCTGCGCCATAGTCACGTGATCAGAAACCACGACCACAGTCTTAGTCCAGCGCCTCGCGGTCACGTGGCCGTGACGTCTGGGGCGGGGCTAGGGTACGCGCGCGCTCGCGCGCGTGAAGATGGCGGCGGAGGCCGACGAGTTCTGTGTGAGGTGCGGAGCGGGCCGCGTCGGCCGGGGTGGCAGAAAGGCGTGGGTTGCAAACTGAGTGGGGACTGGAAGGGAGTGGGGAGCGAGATGTCGCGGCAGTGGCGGGACGAGCCCTGGGCGAGGGTACGGTTGCCGAGATGCAAGGCGGTTACGTCCAAACGGTCCGCGCGCGCGGGGCTCTGAGGACACTTGTCCCGGGGGGCCCGCTGCTGTCCCCGTCCCCTCGGCGCCGACCTCCTGGCTGTTCAGTCAGATCCCCTTACCTCCTTCCGCCTCCACGAGTCCTCTGACGTCCCACCTGCACCTCCTCGCAGACCCAGCCCCCGCGCAGCCTCCCGCTCCCGCCAGGCGATCGGTGGTTTCCCCGCGCCCCAGCTCCTCTCCGGGGCCTTGGTCGGGAAACCTGCTCCCGTCCCCGCGGTGTTCTCCACCCGCCGCGCGTCCCACCTTTCTTTTTCCTTTTCCATTCGTGCGTTCAGTCGGACGACTTGCCCACCTCCTCCCGGAGACTCCGGAGCGCAGTTCCCGGCTTTAGGGAGGTGGAGATGAATTACTGAAAAGACGTCGCTCTCCGAGAGCGCACACCAGCGCCCGATGCCGGAGCAGCGCTTTCCAGGCGTTTTCTCATTCATTTATCGCCGCCCCCGAGCGGCGCCTTCTATTACAAGATGACTCAGAAAGCCCGCGTCTAGGTAGTCCCGGGGTGAAGTGAGGCTCAGATCGGAGGCTCTGCCACAGCTGGAACCACGTCCTCATCTGTCTGCTTCAGCTTGAAGAAATGTCTTGTCACAGGCCTACTAACATGTCCTGTTTCTACCTCTGTGTTTCCGTATTCTATTGGTCTTGTTTATCACTGTCCTCTAAACACCCATAACAGCAGGTAAATATCCCCCATCTTACCTGGTGTCACTTCTTTTGCTTCTCAACTGGAAGTCAGATTTGCTTGCTTTTCCATCTTCTATCAGTCATGCTTCCCACCGCTACTGGGGATGATCGAACTCAGTTGTATCCCCAGGTTTTTTTTTGTTACTGTCTCCCCCCACTCCCCTTTTTAATACAGGGTCTCACTAAATTGCCTAGGTTGGGCTGGAACTCTAGCCTCAGGCCTCAGCCTTCCAGCTACTGGGATTACTGGTCTGCCTGATTTTTATTTTCTTGTAGTGCTGGAAGGCATGTTCTAAGGCACTTTCTGAGCAGGGCCTTTTCTTTGAAATGCTTAGAGATTAGGAAAATTCTTAAGAACACTTTTCATTCCATTCCTGATGCCCTCTGATTTGTAGTTGACCTCAGGCAGATGACCTATCATTTTGCTGTCCTGTTTCTCCAAATGTGGGACCCTTTCAGAATAGAGGTGGCTGTGAAGCAAGTTGTTCTTGGGCCACATTAATGGAATAATCAAAATGACATAATCCTCGTAAGTTACTCAGTTTTGGGAAGGTCACTGAGGGCCCAGAAGAAAGTTTGAATACAGTACAGTATTGGAGTTCTGGGTGTCTTTATTGAATGTATTTGTAGTCTGGCCTGGGTGTGCTAACAAATAGAATTGCAGTTTAAAAGCTTCTGCTGTTGAGCTTAAATCTCAGTTTATACCAGAGAGCTGTGGGCAGTGGCTGCTTTTATGTCACGTGGAATATAACTTTGTCAAAAGTGTTACCTCTGCAGTTTGACAGTCTCAGCTTTCTCTAAGAGGTCTCAGTTCTAAATTATTACTACCAGTAGCTTCTACCCAAGGGTTCCAGACAGGTATATCCCGAAGCTGTGAAGAGGGTGTTAGTGTTCAGTATGCCACCTGTTTTAGAAATGTGGTTCCAGGTTGTCTGCTGGAACACTGGGCCGGATACTACTTATAAAATTCTGAAGCAAGTTAATTTCTGTGCCTGAGTTTTTCCCCCAAATACTTAGCCCACATTTATTTATTGTGCAAATGAATGAGAGATGCTGTGGCCCATAATTAATGTCTTTTTAAATATATAGAAGATGTTCGCCTGAATCTTTTTTTTTTTTTTATCGGTACCAGGGATCGAACTCACGACTGCCTGCTTGCAAGGCAGGCGCTTATGCCGCTGAGCTAAATCCCCAGCCCCGTTCGCCTGAATCTTTAGATTAGGCATCACAGTTGCAGCTGTCTTTGTGTTTTAAGGATCATTTGTTCTGGCAAGTGGGGGAGCTGTCACATGCCTATTTGTAGCACTCCCAGTGCCTGAGATCGCCATGAGTTAGAGACCGACCTCAACTACATAGTGATTTCAGGGGCTGCCTGAACTACATCTAGGTAGTGAGACCTTATCTCAGAAAAAACAAAAACAACAGCAACAAAAAAACCCATTTGTTCAAACCTTCATGTCCCAGTTTCAGTGCAGCCTTTCCTCTGTTGCCGGTGATCTCCGTTCTGTATGTTCTACATAGTTAGTGTTGTACCCTGTAATACTTTCTTTCTTTTTGCTGATTGCATAGTATGCATTTGGTATCCTTCATTATTATGAGGCTCATCAAGGTCTTAGATTTCTTTATATCCCTGTTATTCTCAGTAGAGTAAATATGTAGGCATTGAACTACTTTTTTGGAGGGATCGAACTCACTGCCTCATGCCTGCCAGGCAGGCACTTATACCACTGAGCTAAATCTCTGGCCCTAGGTATTGAACTATTACCACTTACTTCCACAAAGATTCCCTTCCTTGTTGTTTTTTCTTTCTTCAAATCTGATTTATTTAAACATAGAAAAAAAGAAAAAACCCACAAAATTTTAAAGTACATCAATCAGGGCAGCAATGGTACATACATTGCCACATTGCGCACTGTCTTCCCCAAATCATTCACCGGGAGCCCAAGACACCCGCTGCCTTCACCTGTCCGAACAATACGGGCACAGCTCATCCTCTTCAGCAGAGTCGGATCAATAGAAGATTCTCTTCCTGATGCGCTACTGTTTCTCATTCCTTCTGCCTCCGCTTAGGACCGCTACATAAAGTACTATTACTTGTTTTTAATTATTCCATTCCAAGTCGATGACAGGTCTGGTAGAGAAATACTCGCCATTTTGATTTGACAAATGTTTTACTGAGCGGCCAGCGTGTGCCTGCCGTGTATGTCTGTGTCTGTGTCTGTGTCTGTGTGGTGAGGGCCTGCACTGTAGAGCAGGAAGGTTTGCCTACACCACCATCTTCGCTTGTGGCCGGGTACGTTCTTGGGCTCAGCGCGAGACCTGTAGTCTCTTGGTTAGGTCAAGTTAAGCCCGCTCCCTTATAGATGAACTGTCTCTCTAGCAAGTTACTTAGCCAGTTCCAAACAGTTGCTTTCTAATGAGATAACAGGAATGAGACTAACAGTGTTTGTTTCATGAGTTGTTAATGTTAAATAAGGAGTTAAACTGTGGAGCACAGGGCTAGCATACCTGCTGAGTAAATGTTGGCTATTCTCAACAAAAATTCATTTTTTGGGCTAGGGGTGTAGCTCACTGGCAGAGAGTGTGATTAGCATGTATGAGGCCCTAGCTTTAATCTCAGCACCCGCGGAAAAAAGAAAGAGAAACATTTTTGCCACCTTTTTTGGGGTCACCTTTTAAGGAAGAGACTATAACATGGCTTTGCCATTGAGAATTTCCCTCTTTTTCTATTTTTATTTCCCACTCAGGTGTATCAAGAAAAAATTACAAAATAGCGTATACTTAATTGTACATGATATTTTGATATATGTATACATTGAAAAATGATTAACTCAAGTAAATTAACATATCACTGAGAATTTTGATTTCTTTTCTTTTTCTTTTTTTTTTTTGTTGGGGATTGAACTCAGGGTCTTATGCATGCAAAGCAAGAGCTCTACCACTCAGCCATTGCCCCAGCCCCAAGAATTTTAATTTCTAATACAGAGCTTTGTGTGTTTATTGTGGTGCCGGGAACTAAACTCAGGGCCTTGAATGGGGTTAACTAAGCAAGCACTCCACAGCTACATGCCAGCCCAGGTTTTTGTTTAATGGTTTTTTTTTTTTTGAGTAGTAAATAAATAAGTTGTGTTACTCAAATCTTGTTTAGTAGCAAGATGTTTCTTTGAAAAAGAAAATGCCAGGCATGGTGGTGATATCTGTAACCCCTGTGCTTTGAGAGGCTGGGGCAGGAGGGTTGTTTGAGCCCAACCTAGACAATTTAGGGACACCCTGTCTCAAATTAACTAAATGAAGGGTTGGGGATTTGTTGAGTATAAGAAAGCAAAGACGTCTAGTCTGTGGCTAGTCTTAAGTCGGAGTAGTGATTTTTATTTGTTATTTTTTTTGGTACCAGGAATTGAACTCAGGTCTGTGCACGTGCCAGGCAGGTAGGTACTTTTGCTGCTGAGCTAATCCCCAGCCCCAAACTAGTGATCTTGTCAGTCTCCTCTGGGGATCACAGCTGGCTAGAGACTTTTAAGTTCCAAAAATGAAGGCAGAAAAAGCTCACTTGGTACCCAAGCTTTTTTGGAGTTAGAAGATGAATGAACAATAAAGTGAATTAGTCTGGCCTTGGTGGCACACACCTATTATCCCAGCACTCTGGGAGGCTGAGGCAGGAGGACTCGGTTTGAGCTCAGCCCATTCAAGCTCAGCCCAGACAGCTTAGCAAGACCCTGTCTCAACATGAAAAAAAGAGCTGGAGTGTAGTTCAGTATGCAGACCCTGGGTTTTCAGTCTCCAGCGCTGCCCACCCCGCCTCCAAAATAAGCTAGCTCAGGCTTGTTTTTCTTTAATTTTGATGTTAGCTCCAATCTCAGCTGTGGGTTATAGGTAATTGGTGCCCAGTCAGTTTTTTTATGTTTTGTTTTGTTTGTTTTTTGAGACAGGGTCTTGCTATGTATTGCAGACTAGCCTT